CAGCACGAAGTATATATTCCGGGCTACGCTATTGTGTCTATCGACATACAAGTTAGAAAGCCAGCGCGAACACCTGCTAGCGATATGATCAGGTGTTTCGGGCTCTAACCGGCACATAGGCATTGTCGCTGAGTCCCGTCTGCTTCGCGAGTGCTCAAAGACCATTCCTGGACACCAAGAGCATTGCGGAAAGTTACCGCACTTATTCTCGCTGCTTTTATTCATAGGCTACTGAGCCTTACGTCGATATTACCATCGCCACGAGCAAAAGTACCCGCGTGCGGCTGAGCTTCCCATGCAGTTCGGCGCTTGCTGATGACATTCTCTCGAAGGATACCCCTCAAGTACCGGAAGAGGTCGGTAGGGCTCGTGAATACTCGATCATTAATAAAGGTATTACCGACTTTGACATTACAGTGAGCTTGGATTCCTTCATCCCGAAGGATCCTATTCCCATCTGTGGGGCTCCTTTTTATACGTGAAGCAAGCTGCGCAAACAGGAAATGCTGTGACCGTACCGACGGGTATGTGACAAAGTAGGTCCAGCTCGTCAGGATACTTTCTCGCAAGCAGTCCTCAAGCGACTCCAATCCACAACCACCGAGCTCTCGAGGGATATATAGCCGGTCCACAGTATTCTTACGATACCGGCATTTCTTATCCCAGAGGATGTCACGGATTCGCATATCCAATCTCTGGGCGCGGTACAATGCCCCAACAAACTTCCGACATCCGCCAGGTGTTTATTGGTAGACATATCGCATACAAGCCACCGCAATGGAGTTATACGCACGGACCATTTGGCCCCACGTAAGACTGCTGCCGAAGATAACTTCGGCCTTTGCAATCAGAGCTTGTTCAAGTCGCTCAATAGCCAGTAGTCGCCGCTCCATACCCAGATATTTGTAGGCTTTGGTGGGGGGCCAGTATTCCATCACCTTCACCCAATTAAAATTCCAGCCTTCTAACTTTTCGGGGTTCCGTCCAGCGGACGTTAACCTGCTGAGGATCTTCACTGTTTTGCACTTTGGTTTGTGCAAAAAATTGAAATGTCTGGTTATTAAGTTGCGAAATTTCCCATTAAAAATTTCAAGCAACCGTACGTGAAAGCCGAATTTGAAATCTTTGGCGGCGAACATCTTTGAAAAATCAGCTTCCTAATTTTCTGGCTTATGAATGATTTTCGCGCCAAAAGTCTTCTGTGGTCGCACGTGAGATCTTGGCATACTTGGGAATTGAATTTGAGTTTGTGAGTTCTCTACACAAGCAGAAAACAACTTCCTGAAATTTTCAGCCTTCTACCTCTTCTGGATTCCGGGTAATAATTTTCCTGCCAAACTTTGCGGGACATTGAGACCAGGCGCACTAAATTTGAAAATTTATGTCATACGTGGGCAGGGGACAGTGCCCTAAAATATCAGCTCTCCTGATTCCGTGGTTCTCAAGATAATAATTTTTTCTGCTAAAACCTTCATACGGGCTGATTTTAAAGTCGTACGGGCTGATTTTAAAGTCACGAATTTTTACTTGGGCAGGGAACATTATCGTAAAAGTTCAGCTTCTTTGTTTTTGTGGTTCGTGAGATAATAATTTTCCCATCAAAACTTTCACGGAGCCGTAAGTGATACTCGGGTAAGCAGGAAGGTTGAACTTAAATCTGCAGGTTCGCATATAGGCGGGGATATTATCATAAAATTTCAGATTCTCGGGTCTCCTGGTTCCTTAGATAATAATTTTTCCTGTCAAAACTTTGACTGGGCTGTACCCCAGCGTGCAGGAAGACTGAATTTAAATCTGCGGAATTGTACGTGGACAGGGAACACTACCACAGAATTCCAGCTAATAATTTCATGAAGCCGTACGTGTTACTTGCGGGCACGGGAAGGTTAAATTCAAATTTCCGCGGTCACACATGGGCGGACAACATTACCCTAAATTTTTAGCTTTTTTGGTTACCGAGCTGAGAGCTGCACTCAAGACGTATCGAGCACACACACACACACACACACACACACACACACACACACAGACAACCCCGTGAAAATATGCGTTTTGTGCATCTGTTGCCCAGCATAAAACGCATAAAAAAGCAAGTGATTAGCGTAACAGACAAGCTGCGACAGTGTAAGCATAAAGCCAGAGCAAGCTAGCACATCTCTTTTGTACACAGCAAAAAAATCACGCTATAGCGCGATGCATAAAGAATGGAGCAAACACACTCACAGGCAATCATTGCTGCGTTGAAAGCAAATTCGCTATCACTTATGCATGAAAGTACAGAAGAGGATCGATGACTCAT